GTTATTTTCTTAGAGGATCAGACAATAGAGCTCCATTCCTCCATAAGAGAAATGTAAGAAGATATAATCCGAGAAAAAGTTATGATAGTACATGTAGATGATTTATTTGCAACTCGCCAGATCACTTAAGCAAAACATGTCCTAATAAAGACAAGAAAAGGTATTCCAATAAGCAAGAAGAACAAGAAAATGTTCTAATAATAGATAGTGTGAATGAAAATATTTTAGTCTGTGATGATGATATAATGGACGATGAATCGATATACTCAATTATAGAGACAGATGAAATAGAATATGACGAAGATAAAGAATCAAGTGAAGAAGAGTTAGACTTAGTTGATGAGTAAGCAGGAATAAAGATAGAAATGATGGATAAAATAAACTGCGAACACAAGTGGGATCATAAAAAAGGTGATTCTAATATAAAATGTGTATTTTGCATATATTATCAAGATCCAGCAAAAAGGGCAACATGTAGGTTATGTTTAAGACAAGCATATATGTCATGTCTAAAACAGGAGAATTATATGAAAAATGAGTCAGAAGCTAAAATAATATATGAGGAAAATAAAGTGCAATCAGAAGAAGTAATTCTAGAGGAAAAAGGAAACAAATATTTAAACGATACTCCACAAGAGTTCTTCATTCCTAGATTAAGTTTTAAGACTGAACAAATTTTGTCATACTTTACTCGAGATATTATAGATCTAATTTGGAAGAAATATGGTGAAAGGCGTTACAAAACCTTTCATGATATACAAAACTATTTTATGAAATTATACCAAGGAAAAGAAAGGCATCTAGGAATAATTGCGAATGCAAATATTTTTCCTTTACTTCATCTCGATGATAAATTAATTTTTTTTTCTCGAACGTGCCGTATAGCACGTATTTCATTAAGAGAAATTAGACAACACCGAACCAAACAACAAACGGCTCAACACTAGGTAACCAAAGGTTTCCCAGGCGAGGAGAAAGAAGAAAAACAGAAGCGAAAAAACTAAAGAGAACTACGACGAAGCCCTATTAGTACCACAAGAGGGACTAAAAGCAACAACGGGCTAAGGTACAATGAAATAGTAAACCAGGCCATGGGCAATGATTGGACGACCTAGAGCGGGTACCCAGTGGTAGGCTAAACCTCGAGTTCAACCCCTCCACCACCGGATGCCATCAAATCGCACAGCCTAGCCGGAAGAGCATCCTAATTGCCTCGCTTTGACTCCGAGAGAGGCTCGTCGAAAACGGCCATGTACTTATCGAAATCGCCTCCGTGATCGGCTCGCGACGCTCGATCCTGCTGGTGGAGTCCCCATTTTGCCATCAAGACGTTTCGGGCTTGCACGGTCGGGTTGGAGGCTTTCAGATCTGCTCTTGGCCGCAAGCCTCCCGCTTCGACGTGGCGGTGAGGATGTGCATTCAACCGCACGACGCCTCCTAGGAACACAGAGACGTGGAGGTTCGACCAAGATCGGCTCCATGATGGTAGAGGAAAGCTGCGACCAGTAGATACTGCGAGATGTCACTCGGTGACACCGAGTCGGGCGCCATGCCGCCGCGGGCCTACCATGGGCGACAAGACCATAGGCGGAGAAGTAACTCGACGGCGTCCTCACATGGTCCGAAAAGTGCTCCTCGTCTCAAGAAGCGGCCGAGCGAGATGGGCCAAAGACAAAGCTCGCTTTGGAAGGAGCGACCCTCCACCGGGACCCCCACCCCGAGGGCTCCTCCAAGACGGCCAATCGCGGGTCGAACTCTTTGGGGGGCGATGGAGGCTACAAACTCCTCGAGCATCGGGTCATCCGTGGCGTCGCGAACAGGGAGCACGTCGTGATTCCAAACCAACAGTGTCAACGGGTCAACCCAAGGAAGGCACGTCCCGCTGGCCGGCACGACGAGGTCGGCCGTAGCGTCGGTGGAGGGGGCGTTGGTGCCCAATGATAAATTAATTGTTAAGCCTCATCAAAGATTCTTAATATTGAGGGCTGATATAAATTTAAAATATTTTAGAAGCATACAAAGAAATATTGGAGATGATATCTCTCTACAAACTATTATTGATCATTGGTTAGTCCATGATATATGGTACACTTGAAGAAATTTTCCAATCAGACCTGGGAATAGCTATCAAAGAAGCTTGTAAGAAATTAGCATGTATTCAAGGGAGATACAAAATTAAGTTTTGTTCCAATAAACCAAAATTTACACAACCAATAAGACCAGCATGCCATGATATATATATCACAAAGGGATCATACAAATTTCCTACTACATGGACTTTAGATTCATGGCAAAATTATGAAGAGCTATTCGTAAAAGACACAAACCATGATAATTGGAGAATTTTCAGTGAAGCAAAAGAATTAGAAGGAAATACCAAATTTGCTCCGAAATATTATATGATGTACCAAAATAAAATAATAAAAGTATTCTTACGAGAATACTATAGAAGATATAGTATAATACAAAGAGAAGTTGGAAGACTAATAAAACCTAGTTATGGCAAAGAATGTCAATTACAAAAAGAATACCGTGAATTATTGTCCTGGTATGAAATATGGCAACCTGAAGAAGTGGACAACGAAGAAAATATTGAGTCATAAGAAGAGTCAATACAGACTCAGTTCAATATCAATATATATGTTCTATACAAGAAATATACTCCCTATGTTGATAAGGTGTTATCAACAATTCGGCCGGGGGAATATAATACTACATGCTAGAATCCTTGATTTGGTGTTTGCAAAATCATTCATTCGGGCATGGTAGACCATACTAAAAATATATCTAGAAGTCACTCTACTGTAGCCAGGACAATTATTGAAGCACGTAGCTCCGTCCAGCTGTCCATGCAGCAGTAAAGGAGAATAATTGAAGACACTAGAAGACTTAAGCACAAAGTAACTCCAGAAGATAAGCATGAAGGATAATCCAGAAGGCTCCCTTCGCGCTATAAAGAGAGATGCTAGGCGCATTCATGCAGCATTGGACCGAAGACCACCAATCGGACCAAAGACCACCAGAACCATCACCAGGAACTCATCCACTAAAGACTCCACTCCACACCACCACTCCACCATCTCTCCACTCACACATACACCATGAAGACTACGATCTCAGGAGTCCTCTGAGTTCGTCCACCTTTAGTACTAATACTCTACTTAGTTAGTAGCCACTCCACCGTTGTAAATTAGAGAATAAAGGAAGTCCCCATGATCTTCCTGTGCTTGTTAGGTAATCCCTAAGGTTTGTGCTAAGTGCTTGGGGTTTTCCGAAAGGGAAAACCGTATGTAAGCTCGTTGTGTGGAAATGAACTAGGCTTTCCTGTTTTAATCTCTGCCTTCCTTTAAGCTCATTCATATGGGGTGATGTCTCTATGCTAGGGACCCTAGAGGAGAAACCTCTGCGTGTGTTGTTCTCGTGTTAGCCTTGGTAGCGGCGTTTGTAGAAAACCCTATTTGCGTAGATAAGTGTTCCCTTCGGGTGGAACTGCCTGGGGAGATGATAGAACCTGAGTCCTGTGTGTGCGTGGCTAGGGATAGCGAGGGAGAAGACCGGGTTAGCCTGATTCTGAAGCGAGCTAGTGATGCATACGGTGAGTATCGAGTAGGAATGACACAAGCATAGTCGTATGACCTGCTGAAACGTTGGTCTCACCAGCCTGCAAAAGATCTTGAGAAGTATAATCCGCATAAGCATATTCACGCATATTCAGTAATCACGCACGCATCCTGCATCCACCATCCAGAAAGCAAAACAAGTGCTCCAAATAGTTACGCCGCATAGTGCCTGCATAGTGAGAAAGTTAGTGCTTGAATAGTGAGAAAGTTGGGTGCATGAGCCACTCCCTGGTGAATGCTCGTGCACTATTTATATTCCGAATTTGAATAGTAGCGAGTATTTTGAATAGTGCCACGAATTTGAATAGTAACCGCTGAATTTGAATTGTGCTATGAATAGTAACTCGAGAATTTTAAATTTGAATTCTGAATCCGAGTTAGTTTCCCCGTTTGCTGTAATATATATATATATATAGGGTACATTTTATATACTCCCAGGAGTAGTTACTCCCATAATCAATAAATCACGTTGCGTATGTGTATATACTCATTTATCAGTTTGAGTATGTTGACGTACTAATATTAAGATACTCCAGATCTTTACTATGTGAATTTTTTTTTCAAAAGAACACATATTTTTTAATATACTATGATAGTAACATATAAAATAAGTATAACCATATACTCTAAGTATATATACATCCTTGTCATATATAGTACCATAAATGGTATAGTATGATGATATACTCCATCTACATACACTTCGTCGGGCCATATACACCCTAAATCTAGAGATATACACATGGGAGTAACTACTCCCTAGGAGTAGGAAATAATATATATGGTGCATTTTATATACTCCCGGGAGTAATTACTCCAATAATCAATAAATCACGTTGCGTATGTGTACATACTCATTTATCAGTTTGAGTATATTGACATACTAATATTAAGATACTCCAGATCTTTACTATGTGAATTTTTTTTCAAAAGAGCACATATTTTTTAATATATTATATAATACTATGACAGTAGCATATAAAATAAGTATAACCATATACTCTAAGTATACATACATACTTGTCATACATAGTACCCTAGATGGTCTAGTATGATGATATACTCCATCTACATATACTTCGTCGGGTCATATGCGTCCTAAATCTAGAGATATACACATAGGAGTAACCACTCCCTAGGAGTAGGAAATATTTTCCCTATATATATATATTATCCTGAATACTGAATAATAATCAGTACCTTAGTCTAGATCACCGACCCCAAATCCGGACCCGAGCCAACCACGGGCGCTCCCCGTGCCAGTTCCCCCCCGCTCCCAACTCCTCATTATCTTATCGAGTTTTTTTTGTTTGATAATTTCAAGATGGGAGGGGGGAGGCGCCGGTTTCTCCAAGCTCACCGCCCCCTCCGCCGGTCCGGTTACGCCCAGCTCGCCGGTCCCTCCGCCATGAGCCCACCTTCTGCGCTGCTGTCTCCTCTGAGGATAGCCATGGTCAACGAGCGTCGATGGAGGCGGCTCCGGGCACCTAGCGTGGCCGCACTATAGGCTCCCAAGCGGTCGAGTGAGTTGCAGCGCTGGCGAGCTCGTGGAGTCAACGACGTTCTCCCATCGTCGGAGATCGGGAAGGCCACCTTGCTCTTGACGTTAAGGAGCGCCAGTGGCACCTCATCGACAACGCGCTGTTGTGGTCTCGAGCGGCGAACTGAGTAGGCGGCGGAGATCCGGTCGATCATGAGCAAGGTGGCGGCCCGCAGCAGGCAGAGGCCGAGCCCCTTAGATCCCATCGGCAGCAGGCGGAGGCCGAGCCACCACGCCTTTGCGAGCCGAGCGGGATGAGGAACAAGCGAATCGACAAGGTGCGCCTTTCCTCTTCCATAGCTCAATCCTTCCTACCTCCGTCCGGATCCAACGGATTTTAATATTTATGCCTCCATCCTCGCCTCTGGCTGAGGCCACGGACGTCGTCGGCCGCCGCAAAGACTGGGCACGGCCGCCGCCATGTCCCTTGGTGGCGGCTTACGCCTCACACATGGGCACCGCTTTTACGCGCACGCTTGGCTCCATGGCGGTACAATGAGCCACGAGTCGAAGTTCTCCCCGACTCCATCACGGGAGAAAATGGCAATTTTGCCATCATCAAACTTGGCTTTTGCTCGTTTGCCATCTCGCAAAGGGATTCGCATAATGCCATTATCAAATTGGGTACACATGCTCAAATGCCCTTTGGCTGATTTCTTCAAAATTTAATCATTTTAATTCCCATCAAATTTGCATTCCCGTTATATCCTCGCTGAAGCCGATCCCTTATCCCTTTCGTGCATCTCTTCCCGGCATCGGTCATGCACTCACGCACGGATCGAAGGCCGCTGTTTGTCGCCGCCCGTTGGCGCCGACGCTAGCCCACCTCCGTGGCCGCTTGAAGCCGGCTAGCTGCCCCGCCACCACAGCCAATGCCGCCAACACCTCCATGACCGCCACGGCTAGCCACCGTCACGACCGCTGCTCTCTGCGACAGCTCGGAGACGTCTTCCCTTTGGCTGCTGCTCTGCGACGGTGAGTCGATGTCCACGGCGCTAGCGACCTACGACTTCCGGTAGGGATGGGGATGACTAGGCGGCATTGATGCGACCAAATTCACCATTTTTGGTCCGATGAGCTGGCTCTGGTGGCGGCTCCCTAGGGCTTGCAGGAACGAGAGCGTGCGGGGAGGCGTCTTCTTTGCGGCGTATGGGCTGGGCGAGTGCCGATCGCGGTGGTGGGCGAGCGTTGGGGTGGGCGCAGCGGCCGCCTGGAGTTGTGCCGGCGGTGGGCGAGCTGCCTTTCCGTGCCGTCGTCTCTGGTTCGTGCGTGAATGGGAAGAAAGAAAGAAACGAAGGGATAAAGGGTAAAACAGGAATGCAAATTTGATGGGAATAAAAAAGTGATTAAATTTTGGAAGAAATCAGCCAAAGGGCATTTCAACAGGTGTATCCAGTTTGATAATGGCATTACAGCAAATCCCTTTTGCGGGATGGCAAACGAGCGAAACCCAACTTTGATAATGCAAAATTACCATTTTCGTCGAGTAGTATCCCACCGTATATGCTTGCTTGTTTCCAGGTAACGTGTGTTCTTCTTTGTAAATCCCAAATTCAAATCAATTTCCATTCCTTTTTTATTCAAATCAATGCATGACCAGCCGCACCACACCCAGCATCAGGTGAAACATCGATTAATGTGCATAAAAAATTGTGTCCCAATCTTGATCTTTTGCGAGATCCAGTAGTATAGTTTGTTGATTAATATGCATAAAAAATTGATTAATTTGATTGCTTGTATTTTTTCTTTTGCAGATTTGGAACATAGGGCACATATCAGTTAGTGTGCTTGCAGCGTGTCATGACTCATCGTCAGCTCCTGCCGTGAACTCCCGGAGAAAGGAGTCGCAAGTCGCCTGGCGATGCTGTTGCCGCTGTCAGCCCACCGCCACCGCCTCTCCTATGTGTGCTCCTCCAACACTGCTGGCAGATCCAGGTGCCCCTTCCCCATCTCGGCGTTTGCACCATCTCCTACTCCTCACCCTTCCCCTTCTTGATTCGATTTGATGATTCGAGTGCAGGATGTGTTCCCTGCAAGTGTTCGATTGTCGGCGCAGGTCGCGGCCAGGAGCTCCTCTTCAAGTGCAGCAAGGTGAGTTTGTGGATGTGGTGCAAGCCTCAAGATTCACGTTCAAAAAAGTACTATTCTTGTTTAGTTTAGCTCATTTTGTGTACATTGGTGTTGATTTCCTCTACTTCTGCCTGCAGATTTTTAATTAAATAAATGCTCCTAAAATTTAACCTTTCAAAATAAATTATTGTATCCTTATTATGTAAATGTGTTCATAAACCATGTTTAGCTGATTTTTCTTGTTTATTGGGATTTAGGAAATGGCGAGTAGCTTAGCTGAAGTAGGATTGCACTAGGCCATGGAATTCGAAGGATCCATCCCCCACCTGCTTGCCACTTGGGACGTGCATATGCTTCAAGCCTTGAAGCAACTCTCAGCTGCAGTACACAGGATACTCGTTTGTTGGAATGACCCATCTGTTGCTGGGCTGGTGCTGCCCACATCCTCTTGGATTTTGCACAAAGGTGAAACAGTGCCCCCTTTGCTTAATTTGTAATTTGTTCAACTACAGAATTATAACAACAACAACAACAACAAAGCCTTTAAATCCCAAACAACTTGGGGTAGGCTAGAGTTGAAACCCAGCAGAAGCAATCAAGGTTCAGGCACGTGAATAGCTGTCTTCCAAGCACTCCTATCTAAGGCTAAGTCTTTGGGTATATTCCGTACTTTCAAGTCTCCTTTTATTGCCACTACCTAAGTCAACTTTGGTCTTCCTCTGCCTCTCTTCACATTACTATCATGGCTTAGGATTCCACTACGCACTGGTGCCTCTGGAGGTCTCCGTTGGACATGTCCAAACCATCTCAACCAGTGTTGGACAAGCTTTTCTTCAATTGGTGCTACCCCTAATCTATCACGTATATCATCGTTCCGAACTCGATCCCTTCTTGTATGACCGCAAATCCAACGCAACATACGCATTTCTGCGACACTTATCTGTTGAACATGTCGTCTTTTCGTAGGCCAACATTCTGCACCATACAACATAGCAGGTCTAATCGCCGTCCTATAAAACTTGCCTTTTAGCTTCTGTGGTACCCTTTTGTCAACTACAGAATAAGCATACATATTTACCAATATTGAAGGCTTGAATTTTCTCCTGCTGCTCACTTGTTCATTCATTGCGTATATTGATTGATGCTTTAGTGATCTTGTTAATTACCAACAATGGTTATTTAATACAAATTTTAGCTCCTAATCTTCATTCCTGAGGCCGACTATTTCATGGAAAGTTCAGCTTCAGGGTATTCCATTACTAATTAATGCACCATATGTACGTTTATAATGATGGAATTTTACACCTTACTCAGGATTGATATGATCTCATCTCATTATAGAATGTTGTAATGATTTGGATGTGTTATTCAGATTTAATATGGTTCAGATGAGGCTATTGTTGTGGATTAGTATTGGAATTATTACAATAATTTAGTAGTATAATAACTAGTTATTTGTGTTCACAGGACATTATTTGCGATTAGACTATATGGTGGGGTTAGACCCTATCCGCGTAAATAGAATTCAGAGTTCTTGCTTGCGGCACTACCTGTAACACCCTAAAATTTGCATAATTTTAAAATAGGAGGAAGTGATTTAATTATGTATTTTTGTCACATTTAAATTTAGGAAAATAATAATTTTGTTAAAAATAAAATCAAATATAGGTTTACAATCACATATGTGCATTCATGCTGCTGCATTAGGGTTTTTGTGATGCTTGGTTTGATTCAAATTCAAAATCCATTTGAAAATTTCTTTGGAAAAAGTTTTGAAAATAAAAAGAAAAGACAAAGCCTTCCTCCCTCACTCTCCCTTTCTTTTGGCCCACTCGCCCTTGCTTCTACCGCCGGCCCAAGCTGCTCGGTGTCACTCTCCTCCCCTTCTCCCGTGGGCCGCGCTTCACTCCGGCCCAGCTAGCAGCCCGCGCAGGCGTGAGCTCTCTTCTCACCGCTTGGGCCGAAACATCAACCCCGCTCCTCTGTAGCAGGATGGCCCAGTCCAGCCGAGCTCGCGCCCTTTCCTTCTCCCTCTTTGTTTCGCTGACAGTCTGGGCCCGCTCGTCAGGAGCGTCTTCTTCCCCTTCGTCGTGTCCGAGCCGGACATCATCGGCCGGGAGTTAGCGCCACCCATGTCCCCTCCGTTCCTTGTGCCCCAAGCCGCCTCGCCTCATAAAAGCTGAGCCCCTACGTTGCGCCGCCTTCATCTGACCCGAAAGAGCCAGCTGTAGCCTCACTGAGACACCGAGCCGCCGTAGACCAAGCACTGCCACCATTGCCGTTTGCCTTGCCTTGAGCCACGCCGCCTCAGTCCGCTCCATGCCCTGGTAAGATACCCAGACGAGCTCGCCGTTATCTCCTCTCTCTCGGTGTTTTCTTCTCGTAAATCCGTGGTCTGTAGGCCAAGTTTCATGAGAGCCGCCTGTTCCGGCCATGGCGCCACCGTGTAGCTCGCCGCCGACCTCGCCAGCGTCATCTCTCCCCATCCGATCCAATCCCGACCGCCTGTGTCTAATCCAACGGCCGGTATCAGCCGATATCCCTCCAGCTGGCATATTTGCAAAGAAGCCATTACAATTATTTGAGTATTAACCCGCCGTCCTTGTCTTTTTCTAAAGAGCCCCTCGGATTTCTGATTTTAGAACCCGCAGTCCATAACACTTTTTCAGAATACGTTTTCTTCTTTATAAAGCGTAGTTTCTTCGGTTTAGATCCAAAATACGTTTTCACCTATTTACAGTTTTGCCACTAATCTTTTTTAGCCATAAAATCTCTGTTTTAACTCCGATTTGATCTGTTCAACTTGCATTAGGTTCATAATTTCATAATCTATATGTTCATACTATTGTTAAGTATGTTTTAAACTTTTAAATTCAAGGTTAGATTTAATCTGTTATTTTACTAAAGGAAATCTTGTTTAATTCATAACTTCTTCGTTTTAGCTCTGATTTTTGTGATCTTCATGTCTGTGTGTTCGTAGCGAGACGTTGATTTGTGTCACAGACTTTTCATTTTGATTTTATGCTGATTGGTGTACTATTATAATCAATAACTTTTGTTTGCTATGCATGATTGCTTCTAGATGCTTGTTTGTGGTTGTAATTATCGAGTATAGACAGTGAGCCAATCGTGGGGGATCAAGAGTATTACTTTGACGAGCAGGATCAATAGGAGCATTTTGTTCAAGGCAAGTATAACATGGGATCATCTTTGTTTCCTATTCACTCTAATATATTTAATCCATGTTGCATGTGTCACCTTGATAGGGATTCCTTAGTATTGAACTTATACCTTGTCTCCTATGGGATATGCATTGGGTAGCTTTGCTAGTGCTCAATTAAACTATGATCTTGTAATTTGACTAATGGTATATGCAAGAAATATTAAAATATGACTTTTTAGCAACTTGAAAATAGGGGGCTGGAGAGTGTAGCTACTTTCTAAATGCTTTAGATTCCTCTCCCGAAGGACTTGTCTATAAGTGATCATCCGGGGCTTACAGTACAGCTGTGAGGGCTGCATGGCTTTGGCTTTAGCTCAGTATGAGGACCTTTTCTAGCTTGTTAGAGGTTACCTTTATGGGACAAGAGGGGTGTGTTTCGGGTTGGATTTAGTGCGGCCTCTGTCCGTCAGTGTATAGGTTGCGCGTCATTGTGCCTGTCAGAAGTGGAGCCCTACATTCGTAGGGCGCAGAAACCTAGCGGCCCTAACTTGTTAGACGAACCTTTGAAAGGCTTCATAGTGACCCCTGCCTGCTCACCTTGGAAGTGTTTTGGGAGTTATAAACCCGGGCATATGGGTATCAAGACTCATAGTGAAACTGTACAACCTCTGTAGAGTGTAAAACTGGTATATAAGTCGTGCTCACGGTCATGAGCGGCCTTGGAACCCTTATGGAATAGATAACCACTAAGAATTATCTATTTATGCTATTCATTATTCATGTTTACATTGATCATGTGTTTTACTTTGAGAATCAAGACAACTTGTTGCTACTCTTATGCAAAAATTGTGACAACTAAAAGTTGAATACTGTTAAACCTGTGTCAAACCTTTTGAACCTCATGAACCCCTTGTTACACTTGTTGAGTACGACACGTACTTACGCTTGTTTATTTTCATTATTTGGATAAAAATCCTAGATGGGTAACAATGGCTATGGTAATGACGATTTCGCCGAGGAATACTAGACTTGTGGTCAACCAGTCGACGTTCCTGTGATATGGAGCTTCCACGAGAGATTCTATCTTTATACTTCCGCTATATTTATGTGAAGATTCTGTCTTATTATTCGTGATGTAATAAACACTTGTGATGATACTATTCATAATTTGTCGGCTTATATGTGTGACTGATCCCTGGGCGCACATAAAATTTTGTATCCCATTTTATCCTTAAAATCGGGTGTGACAGATTGGTATCAAAGCCGTGTTGACTGTAGGACGCAACCCTAGTTAGCAATGGTCATTTTAGCCTCTTTTGGTTCACTCATTTTAAGCTTTCCATCTCACCCTTGTTATTTGCTAAATTTTAAGCTTCTTTTTGCCTCACTCTGTTATGAAAATTACTTCTAATCTGACTAAATCTAATTCTGTAGATGCCTCATGCCAATAAGACCGTTTGTATCAGCACCGGAGGCTACTACCTGCCTCATGGCTTGTCCATGGAGCCACATGAGGAGGAACCCCTGGAACAAGAAGTTGACTCGCCAGTACCTGCACCTACACCTACGCCTGAGCTATTCCAGGAAGAGCCTGAAGAAGAAGAACCCGAAGAAGTGGAGGTTGTTGCATTGTCTGATGATGATGATGAGGAAGACGTCATTCAAGAGGATGAGCCAATCCCTCCCCTGGGTTGGACTACGAAGGTATGGTACAAGCCAGGGTCTGAATCCTTCGTTTCGCATCACCGACTTATGGATATTCTTTAGACCTACTACGCTGATTGGGACACAGCTGTGGAGTATGTTTGCACCGAGCATACGCACCCTCTCGAGGACACTTATTGGAAGGCCAGGGTGTGCATCTCCATCAGGGACAAATAGAAGGAAGCATACCAGCTGGACTCAAACTATGCGCATCACGCTCACTGTGCCACCATGGAAGATAGAATAGAAGATGCAGCCTGCATGGGTCTCCATGGTTGTCGC